CAAGCTGAGACTTTGGCTCTTTCTTTCTTTCTTTCTTTCTTTCTTTCTTTCTTTCTTTCTTTCTTTCTTTCTTTCTTTCTTTCTTTCTTTCATAATTTCTTTGGCAAACTTAGTGCCCTCGACTATAGGATTATACGTAATGGGATTAATAAAGACTCTAGTTAGTTAACAATTGATTTGGTCTGAAAGAAACCTGATTTGACAAAGGTTAGTTAAAAAAATTTTTGAGAATTTCAGTTGACCATGAACTGCTTGTAGCATGACTTGGCTTCTTAGAAAAGCTTTGCCATCTCAAGCTGCATTTATGAGTCTAGTATCCAGATCAGAGTAGGGAACCAGGAAGTGGAGAGAGGTCAATCCTCCTGAGCTCTGCACTTGTTAGACACAGGTATGTTCAGTTATGGGTACTGCCCTTTAAAAGCTGTACAAATAGGAATTCAGGAAGCAAAGGAATGTGGATTTATGTAGTACCTACTCATTACAAGATATCGCAGAGTTTTAAAATATGGTTTGAATGTTGAGTGGGTTGTCCAGAAGCACATCTTAGGAGAAATGAAACTGGGAATATTGGAGAAGAAGAGAGAAGACTCTTGAAGGAACAGAATAGTCATGTTCAGATATTTGAAAAATTGTTCTTATTGAAGAAGTGAGGAAGGTCTCTGCTATTAATTAGAATAGGCTTGCTCCCAAGCAGTGAGCCTCTGGTCTCTGGAAATGCCCAACAAGAGACAAAGGGTTAAAAACAATACTTGCTGCCCTTAATTGACCATGCTATACTCAACAGGTTCCATGGTAAGTGCTTTCTATTCACAGTCTCAAATACTCACAATAGTCTTGCAAAACAGAAAAAAAAATTATTCCTATTTCACAAATAAGGGTCATGAGGTGTAAAGGGGTTAGTGGTTGCTTAGGATCTCATTACTTGTGAGTGGACAGAGTCTAAATTTGAACCTGCCTCTATCTATCTAACTCCAAAGTAGGATGCAGACAGGTGGATTCTGCCTTAGAGAAGGTTAGATTAGTGTACTCATGTTACTAATTTACATGGACTTAGCCTCACTTGCTGCTCAGCTAAGTCCATGATCTCTGAGATCTTTACCAAATATAACATACTTTGATTCTAAGTAGGACTTTTGGGTGGAAGAACAGACCAAATATTCTTCCTCTAAGAGGAAGAATAAAATCAAATAGATTATGGATAATTGTCTAGGTTAGAATGAAGAAATGAACAAGCCTCAAACAGCAGTGGCTTACCCCCATAGCTTTAGCAGGTTGGCAAGGAGTCATCCCACCATAGTTAAGGACCCTGACCAGTGGAGGCTTTCTCTTGCCATGTGTTTGCAGGAGCCCAGCAGCAGCAGACAGAAAATGGCTAACCACTTACAGGTTCTTAAACCTTCTTCATGAAGGTAACACAAATCCCTTTCAATCATGTTTCTTTTTTAAAAAAAAAACATCAGAAATTTATTAGTTGCTCAAAACATTACATTGATCTTGACGTATTATATATCATACATTTGTTTCAAATGGGGTATGAATTCTTATTATTCCCGCGTGTACAGATTGCAGGGTCACGTTGATTATACAGCCACATTTATACATATTGCCAAACTAGTGTCTGTTGTATTCTACTGCCCTTCCTATCCCCTAACCCCCCTCCCCTCCTTCTACCCCATCTACCATAACTCATTTCTCTCACTCTCTCTTATTCTTTTTTCCTCCCCTTTGCCTCACATCTTCTTATATGTATTTTTGTATAACAATGCGGTCTCCTTCCCTCTTCCATGCAATTCCCCCTCTCTCTCCCATTCCCTCCCACCTCTCGTCCCTGTTTGATGGTAATATTCTTCTCATGCTCTTCCTCCCTGCTCTGTTTTGAGTCACCCCCCCCCTTATATCAAAGAAGACATTCGGCATTTGTTTTTAAGGGGTTGGCTGACTTCACTTAGCATAATCTGCTCTAATGCCATCCATTTTCCTGAAAATGTCATGATTTTATTGTTTTTTAGTGCTGAGTGATATTCTATTATGTATATATGCCACATTTTTAAAATCCATTCATCTATTGAAGGGCATCCAGGTTGGTTCCACAGTCTAGCTATTGTGAATTGTGCTGCTGTGAACATTGATTACGCTGTGTCCCTATAGTATGCTCTTTTTAGGTCTTTTGGGAATAGTCCGAGAAGGGGAATAGCTGGGTCAAATGGTGGTTCCATTCCCAGCTTTCCGAGGAATCTCCATACTGATTTCCAAATTGGTCGCACCAGTTTGCAGTCCCACAAAACAATGCACAAGTGTACCCTTTTCCCCACATCCTTGCCAGCACTTGTTGTTGTTTGACTTCATAATGGCTGCCATTCTTACTGGGGTGAGATGGTACCTTAGAGTGGTTTTAATTTGCATTTCTCTGATAGCTAGAGATGGTGAGCATTTTTTCATGTATTTCTTGATTGATTATATATCCTCCTCTGAGAAGTGTCTGTTCAGATCCTTGGCCCATTTGTTGATTGGGTTATTTGTTTTCTTATTGTTTAATTTTTTGAGTTCTTTGTATACTCTGGAGATTAGGGCTCTATCTGAAGTGTGAGGGGTAAAAATTTGTTCCCAGGGTGTAGGTTCCCTATTTACCTCTCTTATTGTTTCTCTTGCTGAAAAAAAGCCTTTTAGTTTGAGTAAGTCCCATTTGTTGATTCTTGATTTTAACTCTTGAGCTACAGGTGTCCTATTAAGGAATTTGGAGCCTGACCCCATGAGGTGGAGATTAGAGCCAACTTTTTCTTCTATTAGACACAGAGTTTCTGGTTTGATTCCTAGCTCCTTAATCCATTTTGAGTTAACTTTTGTGCATGGTGAGAGAAAGGGATTCAGTTTCATTTTATTGCATATGGCTTTCCAGTTCTCCCAGCACCATTTGTTGAAGATGCTATCCTTCCTCCATTGTATGCTTTTATCACCTTTGTCTAATATAAGGTAGTTGTAATTTTGTGGATTGGTTTCTGTGTCCTCTATTCTGTATCATTGGTCTACCTGCCTGTTTTGGTACCAGTACCATGCTGTTTTTGTTACTATTGCTCTGTAATATAGTTTATAATCTGATATCGCTATACCACCTGTTTCATTCTTCTCATGTTTCTTTGGCCAACACGTGGTCACACCTAACTTCATAGAAGGTGAGGAAGTACAGTCATTTTCTAAGACTGGAGATGGAAAGAAAGACAGATGTGGGATTGCACTAAGGTCTTCCACAATAGAATTCCTAGAAAATTTGGGGGAATAATAAATTTGATCTCATAATACCAAATTGTCAGAAGATAAAGCCAGTTAGTGTTTTTCATTCTGTATTGTGAAATGCCTCAGATAAGAAGTAAGGATTGGGGGGTCTGGGTCCCATTCCTCTCTCCTCAACTACTTTCATCTGCTGTACTCAGTAGGTGATGGTGGTGGTGGTGGTGGTGGTGGTGGTGGTGGTGTGTGTGTGTGTGTGTGTGTGAGAGAGAGAGAGAGAGAGAGAGAAAGAGAGATTGATTTTGACTTCTCAGTCCCCGTTCCTCCTTTTTCTTTTTCTTTCTTTCTTTCTTTCTTTCTTTCTTTCTTTCTTTCTTTCTTTCTTTCTTTCTTTCTTTTTTTGTATTGGGGATTAAACTCAAAGGAGCTTAACTACTGAGCAAGTGAACAAGACACATCTTTATTTTTTATTTTATTTTATTTTATTTTTTTGAGACAAGGTCTCTCTAAATTGCTTAGGGCCTAAATTGATGAGGCTAGCTTTGAACTTGCAATCCTCCTGCCTCAGCCAGTGAAGCACTGAGATTACAGACCTGCGCCATTGTGCCCAGCTGGATACTTCCATGTTAAATACATAAAACTCTCTCACAAGCCTAAATCCCTTCCCAGTAGTCATCCCATTTTTCCTTTCTAATATCACCCTAATGTCCATTCAGAGAATTATTTTTTCCATATTGAAGCAGCCTCAAGATGTCCTGATTACCAGCCATAGTGGCTATTGACTTCTTCTACCAGAATTTTCTCACCATCCAGGTACAGCCAAACATGTGGCCCACACTTAGACTTTCTCTCCAGATGTTTACCCCTGGAACAATAAGAGCAAAAGGAATGGAGAGAGTTCATTCATTGCCGCTCCTCTTCCTGTTACCTGTATACGGCATGTTCTGTGCTTCTGTCCTCCCTTGATCATCTAAAAGCACTGACATCTTTTCAGTAAATTTTTTTTTGCTTTAATTAGCTCATTAGTTTCTCTTGCCTACAACCAAATAACACTAAGTGTATAAAGTTTCACTGAGGTTTATTTTTGTTTGCTTTTTTTTTTTTTTTAAACAAAGAGTTCCACTGCTAAAACACTAAAGTTTGGACCAGATGACTTCAAAGGTTGCTCCTAATGCTGTGCTTTTAAACTTAGAAAACAGCAGAAGAAAATGTTTTTTTGTAGTTCCGTCAGCTGACTCAAGGCAAATGTTACCAACAGGAACCACAAAGAAACCTAGGTCAGTAATATGCTTGGTTAAAAGATATCTTAATATCTTTCCCACCAGTCTTCCTACACAGTGAGATTTAACTCTTTCTTAATATCCAAGTGTTCAAAAGCTGCAAGCTTGCTCACAGGCAAAAGCTGTGTGAACCTGAGTTCCCTTATGAACCCCACTTTATGTGTCTCTCTGTGATAGAGAGAAGGAACATCGTCTCCTAACTCTTTGACTTTGAAAGAGGTGCTTTTTAGGTTTGTGCCCTTTCTGTGCAATGGTGACATGATTTTCCATGAATAATTTGTATCATCCTGGCACCACCTCCTCAATCTTCTTGGCTGATATTTATGAGTTTAAATATGGCTAATGATAGAACATGCCTGCCAGATGGTCAATAGGAACTACCTGGGATATTTGAGCATCAGGCAAGTGCTCGATTTCTTGGATTAGGATATGAATATAATTATATTTGGAAAATAATTCAATACGGAGATTCATAAACATTATAAGAAGTAAGCAGAAGTGACCCACACAGATGAATGAAACAGGAATGAGTGGAGGGCGAACCACACATTCTTCTCACTGGGGTAAGTAGGTGGTATCTCATAGGGCTGGTTCATGTCCATGTTGTAGAGTTCTATCTCTGTGTTCGGCTTGGACTCCTGTTGTTGTGTAGGCTGCAGAAAGTTAATGTGCATTTCCTAGGAGCTTGCTGCCTCTCCAGAAAGGTTTATAGGTTTTCTTGATCATTTTTATCACCTCCATGTTCTCCGCTACATTCCTTCTGTACAATTTGTTGTGTGGTGATCTAAACATTGTGTCCCCCCCACCACCCAAAACAGTTTTCATTGTGCTCCTGCTTTTTGCTCAGTCTGCATACTAATGTGCACTGTTGCATTAATTCTCCCGGGCTCCTCCGCTCCCTGACTCTGTCATTTGATTATTGATGAACTCCTTTGAGCTGCCATTATCCCCATTAAATAGTTCATTCTGCCCTTGGTGAATTGTTTCTCCTTCTCTGCAAAATGGGCACTTCTTCCTATTCGTCTAGAAAGCAGCATGGTTTCTGCCAGGAATGATTGACTTCTTGGCAGAGGATTGACAGAAAACCCCAGCACTCAAAACTAATTTTTTTCCTTTGTTTTCCAATTAAAAAAAAAAAAAACACTTGGCTGTGACAAATGCAGGAACATTTCAAGGACTATCAGCAAAGCATAGAAACACTTCTCTGTGTATTCTACGTGTGCATTGTTCTTAGAACTAGGTATGAGTGTGGAATGGAGCTTCCCAGAAGAAGGGACTAGCGGGAAATATAGAACTCATTTTCAGTGTGAGAAGGTTAAGAAAGACAGAAAGCAACTAGGTCTCTGCACAAATGAAAGGAAAACCCCACCCAGTCTCTGGAGAAGTTCAAAGACATTTAAAGACTGGGCCTCCCCCCACCCCCGACCCCACCCACCTTGTCTCTCTTTCTCTCTCTCTCTCTCTCTTCCTTTCCTTAAATGTCAGTTTCCTTTGCACAGATTTCCCAAGTGGTCCACCTGGCTGACCTCAGTGTTCTCTCTGTCTGTATGAAGATCTCTGGCCAAGTCCAAGGAACTATAAGCAAAAACAAACAAGTAAGAACCCTGTAAGTAGAAATTCAGGTTCCCAAGCTAGGGACACATGTTGTCAATGATGTGACAAAATGGAAACATCACTGCAGTGCCCCTTCCGATCCTATTGGATCCATTCATGCCTATACATGAGCCTTTAAAACCCAGCAACTTAGCCCACGGCCCCTTTCAGGGGAAAGACCTCTACCAACCCTGGGTCTCTTCTGGTTATCACTGCCAGGCATTGGGGATCGCTGTGTGGGTCTCCCTGCCTGAAATGTAGTAGAGCTGAATGTGTTTCTTCTCTCTCTCTCTCTCTCTCTCACACACACACACACACTCACAGAGTCTGTCAATGGCCAGTGTTGTCCTTTCTCCTCTCTCTTCCCATCACCCACTGTCTCCATGCCCTCACTGCCTGGAATCCGGGGCCCGTTCTGCCTCCCAGGGGAGAGACTGCATTACTCTGCTCTTCACCCTGAACAAGGAGACCTTTCATTTAAAAAGGAAAGAAGCTTTATTTCTCCCTGAGTTAGAATAATGAAATATTTCTTGTAAACCTAGAAATTAAAATGCAGACAATGCGAGTCCTTCAGTTTCCTTTTATTGGTCTTCAGAGGTGAACTCGGGAACAGTCGTAAATATGGATCAGGGTAGCTCCTGGCCTTCCGGTAGTGAAACTCCACTCACAGTGATGCCAAGTGTCTTCCTCTGATTTGTCTCCAAAGCCCCCCTCCTGTTACTCTGCTCCCTCCCGCTCACTTCTACCTCCCTACCCTGGTTACAGTGACTTTGAAACTGGGGAGAAGCATTCTGAGGTGACACTGGAAGCTGTGTGGTCTGGAATGCATTATAATGTTATGTCTCAATTACAATATTCTTTGGTTGATAGGGAAGCAGGCACAGCCTGGATCCAGCCTTAGAGCGCACTGCCATCTCCTGGAAAGCCCTCTGCACGCGGTGCCTGCTGTCATGCCTCCTTCAATGCCACCAAGAAAACAAGGACTTGGGCATCATGGCTTTCTATGTTTAGAACCTGAGACCTGGGCTCACAGAACTGTCTTCCTTTGCCCCTCCAAATTGGAATGCACCAATTCCTGAAGGAGACCAAAAGGTGTCGCATTGTCCTCTTAATTAAAAACAAGCAACTAGGTCGGGGAGGCCACTGGTGTAGAGAGCTGTGATCATTACTCCTGCTTTCTGCTCCTGAGGCTGTAAACAGACTCTGCTTACTGTAAATGAGAACCTGGCACCAATAGGATCCTGCCCTTGGGATCTCTGGAAGAGGCGCCAACCTTATTTACACCATTAGGGACTATACCAAGGACAGGGAGCAGAAGTCACATGCATGCACATGCAGAGCGTGGGAGTGGGGACAGTTCTGAACTCTTTGGCCCTTTTGCTCCATAGAAATTGTTTCTTGAAATTCCACTTTATAGGCATGTGGAGATCACTAATGAGATGTTTAAGGAAGCACTAGAAGATTCAGAAAAGCATCTGTGGGTTTCCACTTAAACTCACAGCATCCAAAGGCCAGCACACACAACTGTCTTTGAGAAACAGCTTTGCAGGCTACAGCAGGTTAGTGGTCAGATATGGGCCACAAGAACAAATCCATCTGGGAAGGCTTGTTATCATGAAAAGAATGTCAACCACTTTCCTTAGAAATAAAAAAAGAGGGATTATCTATTTAAAGATGAATAAGAAAATATTTTCACTAACTGAATTAAATATCAGTTAATTATCCAGACTACTTAAGTTCAACTAGTGTCCCTCTGAGTTGGTAGCTCTTATCTTTTGGAAGGGAAGTTGTAGACCCTTCAAAAACTATTTTTAAAATTTGAAAATTTATACATTTTTTTCCTTAGAAAAGCACACACACATTTTTTTTTCCCTATGATCTAAAATAGTCCATGAAACCCTGTCACTACCTCACCAAATCCAACTGATCTTAACATTTAATTAAAGATGCCCTTTTCAGCTGGACTTCTTTGTAAGCCTGGGATTAAGTCTGGAGCATCCTGGCTACTTGGGGAAAAGAGAAAGGCCATGAGAATAGTTGCAAATGAGCAGAGCTCTGGTTTGGGCACCTATAAAGAGCATCCAGGGGTACTTCCACTTCTCTTTCATCCCCCCTGCCTTATATTGAAAGCAGTTTCAATGTTCATCCTTTAAAAACCCTGGACTTTCAGAGGCACACAGCTGAAAAGCTCTGATAACACCTGGCTTCAGCCTGGCTCCAGGAAAACAAAGCCGGAGCAGGGGTTCTGCTGTGGCACCTGTGTGGAGTGTCCTTTGTCTTTACCCCTGGAGAGAAATCCTAATGAAAGGAATTGGGAACACAGCCTTCCACACAACAGGAGCATCTGACATTACCTTTCTGACAATGTCATGGTGGTAGCCCCACAGCTCCAGGGGACTCCAGTAATGAAAAAAGTGTGACAAGGCACGGAGTGTGACATGAATTGCAGAAACTACTTTAAAATAGTAGTAACATACAGACCCATAGGACTTATTCCAGGGTCCAAGAACCTTTACCTTTGGACCCAGGTTTTAACCAAATGCTCTTGTGTTTGGTCCATTGTTTGCATCATTATCATCAATTCCTGGAAAGATGCCTTTTGTCTTCCTTCCTAATCTATTGGCAGAAGCGATTTGGCCTCATGGATATTTTTGGATTTCCATTTTGTATATGGGAAGAACTGAAACATAGATGGAAAATAATGAATATAAACCCAAGCACACAGCAAAAATAATAGCCTAAGTGCTGGCTGATTCTTGTACATCAGGCACTATGCTTAGCACTTCATAAGCATTGTCTCACCTACTCCTCCCCAAAACCCTATTACAGTTCTGATCCTTTATTCTCAGATTAGGAAACTGAGAGACAATTTAGTTAGCTATTGTTGTAGTGCTGTGTAACAAAGGACCACAGATTCTCAGAGGCATCCGCAGAAGCACTTCTTTAGGTCACACATCCAATGGTTTCCAGGAGGCTGGCCACATTGAGCTGAACTCAGTGGAGGCTCAATTCCATGCATCTCTCTTTCTTATTAGGCCAACTGAGCCATGTACTTATTTCCCATGATGACAGCCTCAAATTGGCAGATGAGGTTACTTAAATCTTGGCTTAGAACTAGCACAACACAAATGTGAAATTAGCCAGAGCATGTCATATGGATGAACCCCAAATTAAAGAATGGGGAAGTACAATATCCTGCTTAAGATGAAGGCATGGCAAAAGTGGATGTAGAGAAGGGTGAACAGAACCCAAACTAGCTAAGGGGTGTGGCTGGATTTTGAGCCAGTGTTTCCTGACTTAAAAATCCAACTTCTTAACTATAATGTTATATCAACAAGGACTTAACAATGTGCTACTATTGTGATCTTAAGAGCTCAGTTTGATTATTGTAGGTAAATGAATGAGAGTGAGTAAGGAAAGCTATAAACAAGAAATGGTGCAAGAATAAGAAATGGGCCACAAGAGGAAAGATGGAACTGCAGTCACCTTAACCTACGATCCCCAGTGTTCACTATTTACAGCATATTTGCTCATATTTATCCTCACTGTTTCTGAGCAAATGAACAGAATACCTCATTTCATCTTCTGAGATATCTGTATTGTCATGTGTCAAAAGCTTTTAGATTCACAGTCATCTTGAAGCAATAATTTGGGAGATGTGTCATTATAATATCATGCCTACCTGTAGACATCAGGAACACTCCTCTCTTGGCAGCATCTGACCTCAAGAGGACCAGGAAAAGAACAAATGCAGGCTCAATGAAGCAGAGGAAGACAAACTAAGGGACTAGGACGATGCTTCAACATGACTTTGAGAACAAATGGGATTGCAATTAAATAACAGGCAATAGATAAAGAGTAATTAACTGAACATACAAGAAATCTTCACCTATCAGGGATCAGATAATCTATCTTGTGTAACTTTGGACCTCAACCTGGAGTGAGACAGCTGGTGCCAGTCAGAGATAATCTCACTGGACGGTGACCTTTGTCAAGATTAGGAATCCAGATGATCCTACAGCAAAAAGCCAGTGAAGACCAAAAGAAAGGTCACTGCCCAAGGGAGGTGACTGGGTCCCCTGACATTTAGTGCCTTCTACTGGATTTACAGCCCTCCCTCATTTGCCTGTTTTGGAAGCAATTTTTTGGATAACCTCACACACTCATCCTGTTTTCCTAACTTTAAATAACTTCAAAGGATCTACTGAACCTGCTCTCTGCTCCTCACTGGATATGTGGGTGCTTCATGGCTATGATACAAAACTTGTCTTACAGAGGGAAATGGAAAGATAGACCATGAAGACCAGAAGAAACTCTGGGATCAGCCTAGGGAAAAGACCATAAGGAGAGGGATAATGGAAAGTTCTTAGAAGGGGAAGGACACTGCTCTCTCCTCCTGGTGACATCAGTGAAATGTGGGTCTAAGTGTAGTCCAGAGGCCTGGCAGACAGCCAAGATGGGGAGGACTGATGGGGAGGACCTCCACTTCAGTCTTCCATGCCAGGTGTCTTTCTTGCAGGGACAAACACCTCTTCAGTGACGCCAAGGTGAGACACCTTATAGACCCCAGAATAACTGAGCACTGGGAAAACCAGTAGTTAGAAGAGGGAGTATTTGGTCACCAACAATCACATCAGACCTCAGCAAGGCATGTCCACATAGGAGAGGTTGGTGAGCATCCTCCAGAACACTTTTCTTCTTACCCTTCACTCTGGTGAAAGTTTTCCTCCTGTATTACAGCATTTCCCAAGAGAGCTGGTGCTGGGACAGGAAATGATGTCGTGCTGATAAGAATTATAGTTACTCTGTGGCTAGTGGAGGTGTCCAGGGTCATTCAGGGACTTTGCCCTGGAAAATCAATCTTACTCAGAACACTTTACAAATGTTAACTTCCTTTTTTTTTCTCCAGGATTGTAGAGAATCAAGGATTGTAGGATCAAGGCCCAGAGCTGGTGACAAACAGTGTCATTACCTTGCCCCACATCACATAACCAGGAGGGGACTAAGTGGCACTTTGGAACCTGGGCAGCATGGCTTCTGAAGTTTTGCTGTTTGACACTTCCTGAGTGTGTCTTGGACATACACAAAACCTGGGAATAGTCCATGAAAATAGTTCCCTGAAGAATTTGTGTAAGGGCACAGAGACTTGGTTGCTACAATTAAATAGATGCCATGAGTAGAGGACTTTGGCTCTGCTTTGGGGGACCTTGAACCTAATTTTGGATGAATGCCCAGTACACAGTTGAGAAATAAATTACTTTTTTTTTCTTTTTGGAGAATATGACT